TATTTGGAAATTTAATTTGTTTTTATTGAATGTTGTCAAAACAAAATATCAAGCAAATACGAGATCAACTTGAGACAATTTAAATTTAATTTACTGTTTACATACATATGTATGTATGCATGTATGTATGTATAAGATAAAATATGACATTGTCTGATAAAAATAAAAGAAATTATTTTCTTGACGAACTTTTGCTATGGTTATAATTTTCGTATAGTAAAATTAATAAATTTTGACGTAAGGCCCTGACGTATGGCCTGATCGCCATTAGATAATTTAAGTTTCATACATATGTATACCTATAAAAAATCACTAGATTTTAGGATTAACTAGGATTTAATTCCAGATTCTGTCGCACTTATGTGAATAGTACCTAAAATTCATTGACCAAACATATTAGATTCACTTAAGTATAAATTAAAGTTTACTTAGAGAAATATTGAAAATTTTGTTAATTAATATTTTCAAGAAATTTATGTATTTATTATTGTTTAAAAAAATAAAATAAAATTAAATATTGGTAGATCAACACAAAAAAAAAAAAAAATTAAATTAAATTAAATTAATATAAAAAAGTGTGTTGTTTGAATATTTATTAAATTTATTTATTTACTCAGTTGATAGCATTTTAAAATTTTGCTATAGCTACTCATATTTATTGTCATTTTGACTTTAATGAGATGATCGTGAAAAATTTTATTTTTACGGAGAACACAGTCTTTTAGGGTTTTCTTTTTACATATGTATTTGCGTACAATGATTTTTCGAAATTTAATTTCATCATCTCTGTCCTCTATGGTTAATTCAATTCAGAGCAGAAAGAATGTAAAAATTTTAAGGTTGGAGCACATGTTAAATTGGTCGATATAAGTAAGATCAGTCTTCTGAAAAAGGGCAAGTAAAAAGGGCAATCCGGCACATATCATCTCAGATTTAAGCAAAAATATATAATTCGAGTTTAGTTGGCAAAAGTATTTCAATATAGAAACTTGATTGCTAATTGAAAATTATAATAAGCGCCTATAGGTAGGCATTTAATATTGAAATAACTTGCTAAATTTTTTAATAAAATGTTTTGAATAATTCTAAATTATTTAAAATTATAAAAATTGTTATTGTAAGACAATAGCAGCCAAAACTGTTATAATTATAGTTTTAATTAATTTTTATAAAATTTTAATTAAATTTCAATTTTAAAAACATTCATATAGGTACTTACACTTATTGCTATACTTATAGTAAATAATTTCATTACCAAAAATTGTATATTTATTTTAGAAAGAACCTATATTGCAAATTACATACATTATATATACATTATATATATTTAAAGTATAACAGAATTTTACAAATATACAGGCACTCATTATAAAATTTGATAACTCATATTATATAAATTTTTTTTGATGTTTTATTATTCATATCTATATTACCAAATAAATTTTCATATCAAAAAGATCAACTATAAACTCTAATTATTGCAAACAACGCAATTTATATAAGCATATAAGTATGACATAATTTTATAATTTCAACGATAATAAGTTTGGGTTAATCACTCAGATTTATAAGATAAAAATTTTGTTGTAAGCTCATCAAATTTCGATTCTACATTTTGTATCTAAACAACATATATATGTACTTTTTCATATCGTAGAGTATTAGATCTTGAAAAAATAAAATTAAAATAATTTTTTCATATGTAGTGTACTTGAGAAGTACGAATATTTTATGTAATTAAGATAATTTATAAAAATGAGCTTTGAAATTTGCCCGGTAAGATTAAATTATATTGAATAATGTCTCTTTACTTAAAAATTTCTAATTAATTATTTTATTAGGAAATTTAGTTAGATAAAGTTAGAAATAAAAGAAAAAAGTCTTTGTAAGTTCTTGTTGAGTCTTTGAAATATTTCTAATGAAAATTATGCATTTATTGGGATTTTGTTCTGCAATTTAAAACATAAACTGCATAATCTCAAAAAAAAAAACGTAAATGAGCTTTAAACTACTTATAAAAATGTTTTTACTTAATTCTATATTCTTAAGCTTTTTATTCTTACTTAAACTTAATTAATCTAATTTGTGGTTAATCAAAGATAATTAAGAAATGTAATGGAAATGTATTGTAAAAATACTAATTGTTCAAATTAAGGTAAATTAAAGGTAACATTATAAAAAATTTGAATAATTGAATAAAAGTAAAAATTAAATTAATTTTGAATGAGTTTTAGAAAATTATGAAAATGCAAAATATTTACTTTTTAATAGATAAAAAATTTATTCAATCATTAAATTTTGTGATATAATGTAGTGCATTCATAAGCTGTTTAGTTTCCTACAAGATCATGACAATTTTATAATTTCATAAACGCAGTATATGTAGCGGTATTATAGGAACAGCTGTGCTATATTTGTGTGCATAAACAAAATTTTGCCAGTCTAATTTGTTCATGAACATTATTAAATTCTTGCAATATAGAGAAATTAGTATGGAATACTCAATTAAAATCATATGAACTGTTTTGATTTTGTAGAATAGTTAAAAATGTATATTCATCAATTTATACTTTTGCAGTTTACAAACTCAATAATGCAATTCGCAGTTATTGTTTTGCATTATTTTGTTTATAAAAGTCTCTTCTATTTTAAATTTCTTTATCTATTTAATCGTTCAAATACAAAGTGACTTGTATTTTTGGTATTATAATTACAATACACAAATTAATTCATTTGTAATCTAAATTTTTATAAGAACTAAAATATTTCAGGTGTCTCATTTGATCTGTACGTACTTCATATGGGAAATATTCTTACAATATTATACCTAATTGATTTTAAAAATCCAAATAGATTTAAAGTTATGAATGAATAGTAAAATTCATAATAAGCAAATTTAGAAGTAATAAAATTATCAATATACTTAAGTAATATGAAATCAACTTCCTGATTAATGAACTTTTTTTGATGTTCGTTTTTGTTGTTGTGATTAAATCTACATATTGTAAAATACTATTTGTATAATATTTTATGATTCATATACTTAATACAATGTTTAATATAATTAATAAAAAAATTTTTAAATATAAATTGCGTAGAAACGAAATTAGAAAATCTAAAGCACGAGCATATGACATATATTATGTTAAATTTTGGTTTTTTTTTTTTTTTTTGAAAACTGATAGTGAGCCCAGTTAGTATGTATATATACACAAATGCAAAATTATGTAGATAATGTTTCGTAAAAGTACTCTAAAATACAACGATGATGCGGCATTTATTTATTTATTATTGAGTAGAAAAGTGTTAGGTAAATGATGGTTGTATATATGTATATAAATATGTGTATGTAGTAAAAATTAGCACGTGTGTTTAAATATTTATAAGTTAGTATTATTATGTATGTTATATTTAAGTTCCTATGTAACCGTTCAATTCAAGTTTAATATTTCCACGTTTTTTTTTTTGTAAAATTGAATGTTGATTTTGAAGATTTTTGCGTGTATGTAAATCCAGTAAACTAATATATTTAGCACTTATGCGACCGAAAAGCAGAATAGCAAATCTGTGCATTACATGCTTTATGAATTCTTGCCCGCCATATAAATAAGTCATTGAATAATGGTCGACTAATGTATCAGAACAATGGGAAACAAAAGCTAGAATATAAGATTTTGAATTTTCACTAATAAAAATTCTTAGTTTATATAACAAAAAAAAAATAATTAACAGTAAGTTATTAAAATACTTATTAAAAATTTAATTATATCAATTGAGCACCCGGATTCCTACATATCATATTTTAAGCTTATATAGCGAAGGTTTCAATTATGTTTCGCTTATAGTATTTTAATAGTACCAAGTCTGCAATATAAGTTCTTTATTAAAATATTACAGTAATATGATGTTTGTTTGCATCTGCTTGTTCCATTTGCAGATTTAGGCAACTTATTTCTTGAAAAATTTAACTAGGTAAGTAAGAATTTTAATAGTTCACAAGTTGTAATTAAAAATACTTTTCATGTGATACGGCAGTTAATCGAAATACTGCACCTATCACATAAGAAATAAACAGGATTCATCAATTTATTTTATTTCTTTATGTTGTACCAAGACTAAATTTTTCGCTAGAACTTTTTCTTGTTGGAGTATAGAGGTAGCTGGATATCTGTAGCCAAACCAGCAACAGCAAATTAAAATCGTTTCTCTATATATTTCAAGAAAGGACGAAAAATAATAGGTCATCTGGCCACTATGATTTTAACACGTTTTGTACTTGCGCTTAGACATAGAACAATTTATTTTCTACCACTAAGAATTGATTGAATTTTCGTTTTCATTGGTACAAAAGTACCAATGCATATACATATATAGGCTCCTATCCGCCTAAACTAATTTGGTGGAACATGTCTACAATTTTGAACATATTTTTGGAAAAAAATATATAAAAATTGTAATAAAAAAGATATTCAAACTCAATACTCAAATATTGCTTTTATTCATTTTAGATGCCTTTAGTTTTAATTAATAAAAGTATCTAAATACAAAAATTTCCGTAACATTATTTCATTGTGATTAATTTAAAAGATATGATGCAATCTAGGAATTTTTATTAAAATGAAATTATATCAATATATACGGTTATGGTTATTATACTTCTATTGAATTTTCACATTGACAATTTGGTTATTACACACGATTGTGTATAAATCAATGTTTACTAGTCGATAAAAACCATGTGATACTTAAGTATTTTTTTTACTGACTGTATTTTTTAATAATTTATGACGGAACTCAGAAATACACAGATATTTATGTACATACATGATGTATTTAATAATAAACTCACATTTTTCTTTTTTTTTGAATACAATTGTTCTCTTATTTATATCATAGGTTTTGTTTAGTATGTAATTAAAATAAATCATTGTGATTATATAAAAATCGCCTACACTCCTAAAATTGTTGAAAATTTGTTTATTTTTATAATATTGACGTACCTGACATCTGCAGACAATGTCTACATTAGATGCTAGCATATCAACCACCTTTCCTTTACCTTCATCTCCCCATTGTGCTCCTAGAACGACCGACACTTTAGCATTGTACATATTGAATCTTTTTTCTCGTAGAGCTTCGTAATGATTTCCGTTTACTATTTTTTCATCCGACATTTCTTTTGATTATATTTTATAAATTTTTATTTTCACAACTTCGATTATTATTTTTTTAACGAATTTTAGGTAGGTAGGTACACGAGGATTAATACGTAACCTTGAAATTTATCCTTTTTTTATTTTTAAAATTTTGTTTTAAAAAATTGACATTGAACACTATGAAAATTTTTTTTCAATAATATTGCTAACCTTATGAAATCCGCGAACGGACTGATTAAAAATAAATTTTAAAATTAAAAATAAATCCGGATAAAAAAATTTTTTGTACGAACCGAACGAGGATCACTTTAGCATTCAACAGAGCACAGAGCCGCGTATTTTCACAATTGTCAATTTGGCAGCTAAAATCAAAGTTCAATTGTTTGACATTTTCTCATGTCTATAATAATATTGATATGTCAGATTAGAGTCCACATTCCATCTAAAAAAAGAACACATGGTTGGCCAGGGATGGTGCATCCGTCGATGTTTAGGTTAATACTAAGTTATATATATACAAATTTTTGTAAAGGCTTTGTATTGCATAAATGAGATGAAATTTGAAACAATTCAAAATTTTAAAGAAAAATGTGGTAACTTTTAATTAAAATTCAAGAAATAGGCATCAAAAAATTTTGGCAATTAAAATATTTTAAAAGGGACCGGTCTATTTGTATCTCATTTCTATTTTTTCTGGTTTCTATCAAATAATACGCTAAACTTATAATAAACTGAAGCGTTTTTGGCAAAAATTTATAATTTTTGAAAATCAAGTGCATTTTTAATAAACAAATATGCCAGTGCATGAAAGGAGTTCTTAACTAAATGTTGACTTATTTTGAAACTGCTCAATTTTGTGCGCCCATACATATAAGCACATACAACACAAAACGTTTTTAGTATAAACCAGTGAAGGTTTCTACTAAAGCAAAGGACCTTACTGTACTCAGTATTAAATTCAATAAATAAACTTATATTTTTTGCTAATGTTCTGATTTCCGAACATTGAATTTTGTATATTAAAAACCCCTTATATCTAATTAAAATGTTATTGTTCGAATGTTGTGCTAAATTTTTCAACAGAAATTTGACAAAATATTTCAGAAATAGTATGAACTATTATTCTTAATGTAAAATCTGACATACTGAATATTCCCAGTAAACATTTGAATTTGAGAAAAGATAAATTTTTTCTGTCACTTAAGTATTGAACAAAGCCATTTTGACAGTTAAAACCAAATCAATGCCGGGTGTGCGATTGACGTGTCAGTTCCACATTTGTTCTTATTAATGATTTGATAAAGGACTTTTTTTTTACAAAATTCGTTGTTGTAGTGAGTTCGCGATAATATTTGCTGAAAGAAAATCATGAATCGGCCAGCAAAAATTGTAAATCGAAGGACGGCGGGATGGTCCAGTTTAATAACATTTGCTGTTCTTTTGCTTGCTTGGCTTTCAGGATTTTCATCTAGATTATTTGCTGTAATACGTTTCGAAAGTATCATTCATGAGTTTGATCCGTGGTTTAATTATAGAGCCACTGCTTATATGGTGCAACATGGATTCTATAAATTTTTAAATTGGTTCGATGAAAGGGCTTGGTATCCACTTGGACGTATTGTTGGTGGTACTGTTTATCCAGGCCTGATGATAACCTCAGGTGGAATACATTGGCTGTTACATTTAATAAACATTCCTGTTCATATACGTGATATATGTGTTTTTTTGGCACCAGTTTTTAGTGGATTAACAGCAATTTCAACATACTTGTTAACAAAAGAATTATGGTCTGCAGGCGCAGGTCTTTTCGCAGCCAGCTTTATTGCTATAGTTCCTGGTTATATAAGCCGTTCAGTCGCTGGTTCATACGATAATGAAGGTATTGCTATATTTGCCTTACAATTTACATATTTCTTGTGGGTGAAATCGGTCAAGACGGGATCGGTTTTCTGGTCAGCTATGGCAGCATTATCTTATTTTTATATGGTATCGGCTTGGGGAGGATACGTTTTTATAATAAATCTTATACCGTTACATGTTTTCGTTCTGCTATGCATGGGGCGGTATTCGCCCAGGATATTGACAAGTTATTCGACTTTTTTCATACTAGGGTTATTATTTTCAATGCAAATTCCATTTGTTGGATTCCAACCAATTAGAACAAGTGAGCATATGGCAGCAATGGGCGTTTTTGCTTTATTAATGGCAGTAGCATTTTTAAAACACCTGCAAACCATATTAACGAAAAGCGATTTTAAAAAGTTATTTATCGCAGGCGCCTTAGTTTCAGCAGGGATAGTATTTCTGACAGTGGTTGGTTTAACAATGGCAGGTGTTGTTGCTCCGTGGAGTGGTCGGTTTTACTCATTATGGGATACTGGCTACGCTAAGATACATATTCCAATAATTGCTTCGGTTTCTGAGCATCAACCGACAACGTGGTTTTCATTTTTCTTCGATCTTCACATTTTGGTATGTGCTTTTCCTGTAGGATTGTGGTACTGCATTAAACGAATAAACGACGAAAGGGTTTTTGTTGTACTGTATGCTATTAGTGCCGTTTATTTTGCTGGTGTTATGGTTCGTTTGATGCTAACTTTAACCCCAGTTGTTTGCATGTTAGCCGGGGTGGCATTTTCTTGTTTATTGGAAGTATTTTTGAAAGAAGATAACACCCCTATCAAAAATGAAGAAACTGAAGAATCATCTGTAGAAAAGAAGAATTTGTATGATAAAGTAATTAATGATTATACTAGTTAAAGTTATAGTTCTGATTTATTTTATATTTATATAATTCTAGGCTGGCAAATTAAAACATCGTCCAAAACACGACACTTCTCATGACACAAATAATGGAGTTGGCTCTAATCTTAAGAGCATTGTTATTGTTGCAATTTTAATGCTCTTGATGATGTTTGCTGTTCATTGTACTTGGGTAACAAGTAATGCATATTCCAGTCCATCCATTGTATTAGCATTCCATAATAGTCATGATGGGTAAAATATTTGAAGTTAATATTTTTTATTTAGAGAAGTTATTGAAAAATTTTAGTTCGCGTAACATATTGGACGATTTTCGTGAAGCATATTACTGGTTATCGCAAAACACTGCTGATGATGCTAGAGTTATGTCATGGTGGGATTATGGGTATCAGATAGCAGGCATGGCTAACCGTACTACACTAGTTGATAATAATACTTGGAATAATAGTCATATAGCTCTTGTCGGAAAAGCTATGTCATCCCCAGAGGATAAAGCTTATGACATTATGACTGCATTGGACGTAGATTACGTATTAGTAATATTTGGAGGAGTCATTGGGTATTCTGGAGATGATATTAACAAATTTTTGTGGATGGTTAGAATAGCCGAAGGTGAACATCCAAAAGATATACGTGAAAGCGATTTCTTTACTGATCGTGGAGAATTCCGTATAGATAGTGAGGGAGCACCTGCGTTACTTAATTGCTTAATGTACAAATTAAGTTACTATAGATTTGGTGAAGTTCATTTGGATTATAGGTAAGTGTACAAAAAAAATTTTTACGAAATATGGTATATATTACTTTACTTATTCATTTAAATAATTGAAGGGGTCCAGCTGGATATGATAGAACTCGTAGTGCAGTTATTGGAAATAAAGATTTCGAATTGACTTATTTAGAAGAGGCTTTTACCACCGAACACTGGCTTGTAAGAATATATCGAGTTAAAAAACCACATGAGTTTAATAGACCAGCTTTAAAAACAAGTGATAGGGTCGTATCAACAAACAATTACGTTTCAAGAAAAGTATGATAATAAATGAACAATGAAAAAATTGTATTATATATATAAAACTTTTAATTTTAGACATCAAAACGGAGGAAAGGATACATTAAGAATAGACCAGTAGTTGTAAAAGGAAAACGAAACAATAAATAGTTAAAATTTTAAATAAATAAATTTTTCAAGTTTCATCAGAACAAAAAGAAGATCTAAGTTGGAATTATTTATTGAATTAATATCATAAAAAATTATTTTTTTTTTTTATAAAAATTGAAATACAAGACTTATTTCAGTCCAAGAATAATAATTAATCGGATTTCTATTTTAATAGTAGTTTTATTATTAGTAATAAATTAATAGTAATCATCGCAATTTCTGGTGCATGTTCTAGTGATTTTTCATATTATATAAATACAAATATTTTGTTTTTTTTTTTTGTAAAAAAAAATAACTTTTTTATAAATGTTCTAAATTTCAAAGTATTTTATCACAATCGTTTTTGTTTGAAACTTTTTATCACATATTTTTATAATTACGTAAAAAATCACAGACTGAAATAAAATTATTGTAATAAAAAATAAAAGCTTCAAAAATTATATTGCTAATTTCAGGCAAAAATGAATTATTTTTGAATGAATGTGTGTGAGTTTATTCAACAAAATATTTCAATTAAAAATTAACTTCAAAATACAAAATAATTTTCATACAAATCGATTTTTACGATTTGTAGATTCTTCTTATTATAAATGTATCTTATTATTATAATAGTAATTGATCAATTAAACATTAAAATCTAGTTGAAAAAATTAAAAATTATTTTCACAATAATTTTTTGTGAATCGTGGGCACATTTATGGAATAAAGAAGTTTCCAAATTGACTACGATCTTTATATAATTATTATTATTATTATTGTTCTATTTTGTTGTTTTAATTATTTTGAAGTTAATTTTTAATGAAATTTTCTGATCTTTTTTTTTTATCAATTTAGGCTATAAACGTTAAACATTTATCATATTTTAAAATTAAATGTAGTTAGTTTGCACAATATTTTCTTTTATTTTTTTTTTATTATGAAATTGTTTACTTATTTTAAACAATTTCATTTGTAGCTTTTGTTTTATGTTTAGTTTATTCTAAAATAATATTTTTAAAAAGATTACATTACACTTTTGTTTTGTTGATATGAATTGTAACAAAATTATTCAAAGGGAAATAAAGAACTTAAGTTAATTTCAAATAAGAGATTTTATTTTACATAAATAGATATTCAACTACTTTGTATATTATTAATCATTTTTACGTATACGCTACCAATTTTTCTTAAATAAGTAGTCAATAAAATTTATATTTTTTGTAATAATAATATATAGATAATAATTATCCTTATTATTCTTTGTTGTACTGTAATGAATGAATTTTTTCATTACAGTACAATTCATTCATTACAGTACAACAAAATTCATTACAGTACAACAAAATTACATACATTCATTTTTAGGAAACTTGATTCTTTTGCTTGTCCTTTACCTGTTATTAATTTTATATTGCTAATTTTGTAAATTTAAGCAAAAATGCTTAAACAATTCAGAGTATTTTATTCAAAAACACGAACACTTTACAAATATCTTAAACAAGCACTACTTAAACCAAAAAAAAAAAATAAGAAATTTACTCCTACAGAGCATACATGTGTTTCAATTTAGCAAACATCCTTTTGCCCTCAAAAATTTCTTGGCGAATTTTGAGGATGTTTTAAAGTTTTTAAAGAAGGAAAGCTCGCTGATTACAATAATACTAAATCGATTTGAGCTGGTTTCTTGTTCCGGTTGAATGACATAATAATGGTGTCACATTTCGGTTTCGTTGACCATTGGGTTAACCAGACAGTTGATTAACCAGCCATAGAACTTCTTAAAATTACAAATAAAATTTATTTTTGAATTTCTTATACATATGTATGTAAAATATGTATTGAAATCCTAATAAATGATTTTATATATTTTCGATTTGAAAAGACCCCATATATTTTCAATAATTTGAAATTTTCCCAAAATATAAACATAGTTTAGCATTATAAATGAAAGGCCAAAATTTTATATACATACTACTAAAAAGTACATATTTACTTTTACCGGTATATTAAAAACTTTCTTATCACTAAATATCCCAATTACAAAAAAGCTTTGCTTTATCATAAAAAAAAAAAAATTAAAATAAAAGCTTCATTGCTTCTTTTTTACTATCTTTTAAGATAAATAAAAGGATGTGATTTAACAAAAATAACGGTAGTTACTATTTAGATTTCAATGCGTTATCAAGTGAATTTTTACAGAAAAGTTATAGTTACTTGGTTAGCGAAATTGAGTGTATAAAATTATTAAAGAAAATTAATATTCCATATTTAACGGTAAAATACTAAAATACATGATAGTTACGTGGAAAAATAAATTAATCGTATTTGATTAAATGGAAATTTATAGCATTTAATTAAACCCAAAATATTGGAAAATGTTTCGATTTATATGCAATTCATTTGCAATTTTAATAAATTAAATAAAGTGTAAATCTTTTATAAATTCCTTATATGTTCACAATATCATTTTTGGGAAGAAAAAAAGGTGGAATAATTGCAATTTATAAAATAATTTAATTGCTTTGTTGCAATTATTTAATATAGGAAAAAAAATATATAAAAAAAGATAAATTCAAAATGAATATAAATTATATAGTTTTTATTTTAATTCAAATATTATTTATTAATTGTATAAAATCAGAGGATAAAAGTTCGCTAGAAAATTTCAATGAGACCATTAAATGTGGAAGTGCTGTTAATATAATAAGGGATTGTTTTAAAAATCCTTTACCACCAGATGAAGCAGAATTTCTTCAAACAACGAAAATACCATTAAATGAAAAGGAAATATCAACAAAATGCACGTAAGAATAATTTTAAAACATATTTAATTTCTTATTTTGCTAGTGTGTGTTTGTTTTGGTAGTATATTTAGCAGATTTCTATAATATATTATTCCAAATAGACCTTAAAATGAACAAATATTTGTCAGAGCCAAAATTCAGAATCTAATTAAACCTTCTGTTTAGAGGCGAAAAAGGAAATCAAATTTTTAAGAAAAAATATATGGTTTTCGTTGCGATTATAAACGTAGTTAATTACTTGGTTTAATTTTTTTTTATTTGCATTTCGTAAAATCACAATTTTTTTCCTCTGCAATGATAATAATTGCGAATAAGAACTTAATTTCAATATTATAAAATTTTTAATTATTTTTGTATGTACATTACATATACATATGCGTACTTACAGCCAATTTGAGTTCTTTGCAAAAAATATGATTTTATTCATCAATCGTTTGTATATTGTACCCATAGTATTGCATGTGACATTTTAATTAAGTCATCGATCAATTTGTTTATTCGAATATTTTTCGTGTTGGAAACCGTCTTCTTTTTTTTAGTTTTATGTTTGTAATACATAGACTCTTTTAAAAGTTACTCCTACATGCAAATCAAAAAGTGTAACTGAAAATAAAAACGCCAATTAGTGGAAAAGGGGAATATAAAAATAACAAAAATGATTACCTAATTATTTTATTAAAATGAAGCATAAGTGTTGATACATACACATACGAATATAAATATGTACATATGCATATCAAAATTTTTTAAAAACTGAGTCTGTCTGCATTTTTATTTGTGGAATATGTTTTGAATAATCTAGGTTAAAAACGTCTTAGCAAAGCTTTGTTATAAGTAAAAATTTAAATCTCATTATTCCTATTCAGTAGGGGAAAACATAAAAATTTAATATGCTTTAAAGAATTTTATATCTACATACGCACATACATCATTTTACTCTTCGTTACCTCCCAGTCTTTTTGAAATTTTGTTCTTTCAAATTTCTTTCAACTACAAATTTTCAGCTTTAATATTAAAATTAGAAATTGGAACAAATTTCTGCATATACATATCTACATATATATAAATTCATATCTATATAATATATATGAACTGTTTGAAATTGTTTTAAATTATATAAAATTCAAAAAAATTATTGCATTTCACAATTAATTTTTTAAATGCTTTCAAAAAATTTTTTTGGAAAGATGTGCTTATTAGTTTTATTCCAGTAGTACGGCGGTTTTCATATCCTATCATAAAATTCGGTATATAAAAAGCTAAAATTTCACAAGCAAGCCAACCTCATAGAATCAAGTCTCGGATTAGACATTTATCCAGCACAAAATTTTTATACCTATTTCTGTTTCATTTAACGTTAAGGTTTGTAAAATATCAGCTTTTGGCACTCATTTTTTAAATGTAGAGTTTTTCACAAACGTTGAATTCTGAAAACATAGAAACTTTCATAAACGCAACTATAGTTTTTTTTCTTTTTATGTTAAAGAAGCAAATATCAGGATGCCAAATTACCCTTTCAAATTAACTATTACCTCATTTTCCGAAGAATAATAAAAACTTACCAGCGGTGTAGATGGGTTATATCAATATTTCATTCTATTAGAATAAAAGTGAAAGCTCTCAAATTTAGTAAAAATTCTACTTTTCGAAATTAAAAGTTTTGATTAATAAAAATTTATGAAGCTAACAGGAAGTATCTTCTAATCGGAAATCAAGATTACATTTCTTACCAATTAAACTCAGAATTTTTTTCTAACATTTCTTCTTCCTTTTTCTACTAATTTTATAAAAAAATAAGTTTAATAGAATTTTTTTTTAAATAACTGACTCAAAAATTGTCAGAGCAATTTACTCAAATTATCAATATTAAAAATGTGCTACTTTAAAAATTGATTTAATTGACAGCTATTATTTTGCAATAAGTATATATTTATGTATGTATATGCAACATCCATACAAACTTCCGAAACTTTATAGTAAAAGCTTCTACAAACTTATGTACATATATTCTATATGCATATCTCAATGCATCAAAAGTTTACAATAGCCTTCAGTGTTTGTGTTCAATTTGTAGAAAAGTAAAAATAAAAAAAAAACATGAAAGTGGTCACGTTATGTACACAATCTGTTGATTAAAACTTTGTCCTTATATTTTTTTTGTATATACGTAAATGTATGTATATGTAAGGTATTCTTTTGCTATATTTGAAAAATAAAATTGAAAATGAAATTGTTATACATCAAAAGTATAATTTAGAACATTGCAAGGTAATTTGTCTTTTCCGGCATTGCATTTTGATTGCTCTTAAATAAAAAAAAATGAAAATATCAACAGCTATAAACAACTAAAGTTATAAACTATATTCTACCTTTTTTCAGCTTCAAGATTACTTTTTTAGGAACAAATGCTGTTGAATTGCTACTACATTGTGTAAAAATATTTTTAGAAATATTCTCATTTTCATGCTCGATATATTTATAATGAATCAATTTAAAAAATCAGTACTCTTGTATAGATTTAGAATTTTCTAAATGATTTCACAAATTCTATTAAATTGTGATAAATGACTTGGGGTATGAAGTATGACTTTCAAGTTCAAGTTAAATGGACACATTCATGCAGGAATAAACTTACATATATATACGCATATAAATATAAATAGTGTCTATTATGGAACAAATAAAATCGATAAATTTTAAAATACTTAGTTTGTACACTTGTACATATTTTGATTGTTTTTGCTTTGTTGTCTGTCTATTATTTGTTAAAGTTTTAACTCGCGAATATCAAAACTTATTTGATGTTGATTTTTATTATATAAAAATTATTAATTTTCTCCTTTCATGCACACAAACATTCATGTTAAAATAATAAATAATGTAAAAACATAAATTTCAAGTTCAAAGTTTAAATGTTGTTCTTTTGCAGCAGTCGTTCTCAACTCATTGATTGTTTTGATTGAAAACAGAAAAAAAATGTTGAAAACTTTCAAAAAAAAAAAGTTTAAAAACAAGTTGAAAGACTGTTTACATTCGCTATTAAATTCAATTATTGCTTTTCTATGAAAACCCTTAACAATTATATTTCACTCTTGAATTCAATTAATTTTAATTAAGAAAAAAAAATATTTTTAAATTTAATGTTTGCTTAAGAGGAAGCAATAAAAGAAAAATAAAACATGCTATAAAAAGAGGGGAGGCAGAATTAACATTTCACTAAAACCGCCAGGAGGCGCATAAAATTTATGAACGGAAACAATGTTTTAAATGTATAGCTTAAAAATACATGAACAAAACAAAGAAAAAATGGAACCAAAAAAAATTACTTGTCAGTTCGGTGTCTTAATATTTTTTTAAGTCTTTTGATTTTTGAACTAAGAAGAAAATTGTGCAGAATAAAATAATTTTTTGATTTTTCAGTAATTTACTCATTTTTCTTTAACATTTTGATTTTATTTAGTTTTTGGCTTTAATATTTATTTTGAGTAAAATTTAAACTAGATGATTGTTAAGAAGCTTCTTAAACAGCAAATAAATAAAAATCGCGTTTAGGGTTTGATAAAGCGAATGGGGTTTTTTACTGCAAAACCATCCTCGAGTGCATAGTTGCTAAATGTTATTTCATCTCTCTACGTTTATTTCAAGTTATTTTCTCAAAACAAAACACAAAAATCTCTTATCTCTCAAATTTTATTTACTTTATACCTACTTACTTTCATCACGTCCGTCAACTTTAATTCAAAAACATTTTTGTTTTTGAGACGTAAGATCTCATGGGTAAAATGTCAACTGTTTTTATCGTGTCTCAAACTTATTTAAATTTGTTCTTTTTATGCAGGTATCATTAACAGATTAACCAATTTAATATATCAAGCTCCTTTTTTGAAGAAAATTGTATGTGTATATAGATAATCCTAGCACAAATTGCAGGATAAAAAAAGGGTTTGTATATATTATAAAGAAAATTAGTGAAAAGGATATTTTTTAATGAAAAAATAAAAAAATAAGAAATTGTATAGCGGATTAAGAGAAAAATAGAAAATTATTTGATGGCGTATATATAGAGAGAACAGTAGATTATTCGTGCAGAACTTTTTTTAATTAAGAACAAAGTATTAAGATTCAAGTTCTTGAAACCATATTTTGTAATACTGTGCCAATTTTAATCCTTGATACTTTTAATCTAATGTTTTAATGAGTTTTTATGTATTCTTCCATTTAGTATAAATGTATAAATTTTACAAAATTCTAAAAATTTGCTTAAATGTAAATCACAGCTGTACGTGCTATATAATTAAGATATGAAAGTTAATTATGAAGTTAATTAAACAATGATGGGTGATTTTTATGAAAATTGCATTGTTTGGAGAAAAAAACTCGCGATAAGAAATATTTCAATTAAGTATAAAAAGAAACCATTTCCAACCATTTGTATAGATAAAAGGATCATAAGAGATTTTTATTAGCGATTTGAAAAAATGAAAAGGAATAAGTTTGAGTTAAATCAATAGGGTTTTGAAATGAAGCACATTTCTTTAAAATAATTTCAGTTGTTGAAAGTAATTATTTTAACGTAAGAAATCTTTTATTCATACTATCATCATCTTATATCCTTGTGTTGCATACACTTAGGAGGATAACAGAAAAATCATATTGTTGAAATACAAAGAAATGTGCATATTATGGCAGGAGGTATTAAATTGAAAGCCAAATTAAACCGTTACAAATACATAATTTTACTTGTTGATAGAAACATGAGAATTCATGAACTTTGCAGTTTTGTTGGGAAATTAGTTGTCGAAAAAAATGTAATTGTATTAATGTGAAAGTTGATAACTTTGAAGGCGAAGAATATGGTCCTTATGAAACGAATTTAGAATATGGTCCTTATGAGCGATAAAGTATAATATTATTCAGCAAATTTTTTGTATTCAATTTTGTTGGAAATGCTCTCAAATGAAATATTTTTTTAATTTTCGAATTGCAAACACCAAGGGTTA